CTAACAACCATCCAGAACACCCTAACAACTGCATAGCACCATCCTAGTCTTAACAACCACCCAGAATACCTATGAAGCTGCAAAGTTACACCCTAACAACCATCCAGAACACCCTAACAACTGCATAGCAACATCCTAGTCTTAACAACCACCCAGAATACCTATGAAGCTGCAAAGGTATACCCTAACAACCATCCAGAACACCTTAACAACTGCATAGCAACATCCTAGTCTTAACAACCACCCAGAATACCCATGAAGCTGCAAAGGTACACCCTAACAACCATCCAGAACACCTTAACAACTGCATAGCAACATCCTAGCAATCACCCAGAACACCATAGTAACCTCATATCTACCTACTAGCCTAGCAACCACCCAGAAAACCTTGGAAACTGCAAAGTAACACCCTAACAACCATCCACAACACCATAGCAACACCCTAGCAACCACCCAGAATGTACTACAATACCCACCCAAAACATACTAGTAACTGCAAAGCAACACCCCACCAACCACTCAGAACATAGAAACTATCTAGTAACCACACTGAATACTCCATCCAGAACAGGCTACCATCTGCAAAGCAACACCCCAGCAGCCTCTCAGAGCACTTTAGCCGAGTAACCACCCAGAATACTTCAGAAACTGCATAGCAACACCCTAGCAACCTCCATAGCAACCATCCAGAACACATCTGTTTGTCTGACAGACTGAATGGCATTAAAACCGTCTAACTTTAATCTTTAAAACCTACTTCAGACGTTCTTGCTGGGCTTTTCTCACATGAACGCCACAGTTTGTAATCTAGCTGAGTTTGTGTTTGTTGGTTGCGTGTGATGTGATGGATAAGCGTCTGAGCATGCTGAGAAGTGAGAGGCGTTCTCCTGCATTCAGAGCATAACGAGTGTCTCTCTCCTCAGACGCCACGAAGATCACTCTGGCTCCGTCTAACGCTGACATCAGTGTGGGCGAGAGCACCAGGATGGAGTGCGCTGCGTCACATGACCCCAGCCTCGACCTCACCTTCATCTGGTCCCTCGACGCACGCGCCATCGACTTCGACCAAGACAGAGAGCATTACGAGCGCAAAACGGTCATTTCAGTCTTCAGCTGCTTAATACTGATGACAAACATCTGATAATTATTTATTTAGTTTTAATGAATCAAGACTCTTCATTAATAGTACCATTGTGGATGCCTTAACACCAGAAACAATAACTTTAATGACAACTATAACGATAACTATAATAATTATAATTATAATGATAACTATAAAGGTAACTATAATGCTACTTATGAAAACTGTAATGCTACTTTTATCTATGACAATTAGTAGGATGAAACTACTGTATAACAGTAATTATGATTATAATGATAAGTATAACGATATTGGTAACTATAATGATAACTGTCACAATAACTATACTAATAATTATAACAATCGTAACTAAAATGTTTATAACTATAATAATGAATATATTGATAACCATAACAATAACATACTCTAACTGGGACTTATCATATTGCTCTTTTGTTGGTTTTGATTGCTTCTGTTGTCCTCATTTGTAAGTGGCTTTGGATAAAAGCGTCTGCTAAATGACTAAATGCGAATGCAAGGTTATAGTTATCATTACAGTCATTGCTGAGGGTGTGAACAGGTGTCTTGTGTATTTTGCAAGTGTATTAATTGAAATGATTGTTGGTCAGGCCGGGACGTCCAGCTCAGAGCTGTTGATCAGTAACACACAGCTGAGACACGCGGGACGTTACAGCTGTACAGCGCAGACGCCGGTGGACAACGTCACGGTCTCCGCGGAGCTGGTGGTCAGAGGTCAGACAGGCTTTTTATCTTCACATAAACCTTAGGTCTTCGTGAGCTGAGCTGAGCTGCTGATGTACCCCGTATCTCCAATTGTGTGTACATCACTAGCTCCCGTGTCTCCTCATCCTCAGGTCCCCCAGGTCCTCCTGGAGGTGTGCGAGTGGACGGGGTGATGACCAGCAGCGTGAGGGTGACCTGGAGTCACGGGACGGATAACTTGAGTCCCATCTCCAAATACAGCGTCCAGTACAGAGACGTGCGAGCGCAGCAGGACTGGAGAGACGCCTCCACCTGTGAGTACATCACCACACTTCTTTTCAGTGATGATACATGAGTGTGTGTGTGAATAATTACAGTTTTCTTCAACTGCTTGCACACAAAATCTTTACTTGTCACACAGTTTCTGAAACCTGACACTCAAACAGCAGAAGCACACACCAAATCTGCAAAACCATACACTGATTCTCAGCCTTTGACTCGGTTTGCAATTTCATAAAACACTTTTTTTGCAAAACACAACACACAATTCTCTATGTAACACACACAAATCTAATAGGAAGTATCTTGATTTCCTTTTTCAAACACAACCAATACTAATACTGTAACACACTAACTCCTCACATGTGCTTTACTGAACACCAACCCATCATGCTTTACACCAGGCCTATATATACACATCTACACAACTACACATGCTGTGTAATACTGTATTCACAACCACAAATGCTTACAGAAAAAAGTTTGGTTTCAATCTTGCTTTCGTGTTTACCGTGAATCGTTCAACATCTCTGTGCCAGTTACTTTCAATCTTGAACAGAAATGAACACAGGAGCTCATGAAAGAAGAGATTTGGGTTTTGAATAACTGTGGGCATCTGATATATCCAAAGTACAATGTTATGGCAAAGGTGTTTGCAACGTAAGACAAATGTTTGCTTTGGAGATGTGTTTGCGATATTTTGAATGCAGTGCTTCATTTTGCAAGAGATGCGAGGCATTTTGCATTTTGTGTGTGCGGTTCTTGGATGTGTGTGTAAAGTTTTGTAAAAAAGTGGCAAAGTTTAGAAAATGTGTAAGCAGTTGAAAAAAAAAACTGTAATATAGTAATATACTTTTCTGCATATTTGAGGGGATTATTTAATTTGATAAGCATCTGTTAATAAAGTGTGGCTTGACTAAAGCACTAGTTCAGATCTAAACCAGTCCCAGTGAGTCTGTGTATTTATCCAGTGATTCTGTGTCTTCAGCTCCAGTGAATGTGGAGGGAAATGCAGAAATGTCCTCCGTGATCAATCTGACGCCCTGGACGGAGTATGAGTTCAGGGTCATCGCCACCAACACGCTGGGCACCGGACCCCCGAGCGACCCCTCGCCCACAATCACCACCAGAGAAGCCAGTGAGCTCCTTCTGTCCTCATCTGAGGAAACAATCACCTGCGGTTTATTGCCATTCACGTGTTTGTTTAACCCAGCTACTGCATTCAGCCCGTTTTGACCTGGAAGCAATGCATAACAATTTCAAGGGTTTCATTCAAACAAACAAACTTTAGAAATGAGACTATCAAAATACATATCATTTATTTTTTATGATTAAAAAAATACTTTTGTAAAATATATTTAGCCTCATTATTACATCTCACACACATTTAGGACTGAATTCTGCTAATAAACAACACACTAGATGTAACGTGCATAACAAATGAACTATATCAAATGAAATACAGCCCAGCGGGGTGCACAAGAAAAGTTCAAAGACTAAATAGTCTGAATTTGATAAAGGACAGAGGTTTGAAAAGAAGAAGCCTGCATTTCATTTGATGAACCATTGCAGCGTGGAGAACCTTTTCATGATAAAGTGAAAGTTTATGCAAGTGAAAGGAATATATTTTGTTTTAAAGCATTCCAGACTAATATTGATGTTGTTTTATTAGAAAATGTAGGTTTCATAAATCGGGACTATTTTTGAGCAGTCATGAGTTACAAGTTTAAAAAAAAAATGTCATTCAATTCTGTTAATTCCAGTGGAGTTAATACTGGTAATTCTCAGATTGATTGTTCTTATAAGTTTCATATAATGATATACTCAGATAAAGTTTATCATGAATACTGAAATGCATCGCAGTGGTTTTCATGTATAATTCATGCATAATGGGAAATGTTTAAGAATTTCTCATATTTTTAATTAGTAAAAAGGAGGCTAAATGCAGTAAAAAGATGGTAATAACAGTCACTGCTGTGTGTGTGCACTTGGAAGGGTTAGTTTGTCCTTTTCCTTTTCCTTAGTTGAAAATGACCAGAAGTCAAGTTTAATAAGCTTACGTTCCACCAGGTCCAAACGGAGCCGGCATGCAAAATGTGCAGGCAGTTTTTGAATGTATTATTATGTGTCTGTCCATACGGGACGGATAACTTGAGTCCCATCTCCAAATACAGCGTCCAGTACAGAGACGTGCGAGCGCAGCAGGAATGGAGAGACGCCTCCACCTGTGAGTACATCACCACACTTCTTTTCAGTGATGATACATGAGTGTGTGTGTGAATAATTACAGTTTTCTTCAACTGCTTGCACACAAAATCTTTACTTGTCACACAGTTTCTGAAACCTGACACTCAAACAGCAGAAGCACACACCAAATCTGCAAAACCATACACTGATTCTCAGCCTTTGACTCGGTTTGCAATTTCATAAAACACTTTTTTTGCAAAACACAACACACAATTCTCTATGTAACACACACAAATCTAATAGGAAGTATCTTGATTTCCTTTTTCAAACACAACCAATACTAATACTGTAACACACTAACTCCTCACATGTGCTTTACTGAACACCAACCCATCATGCTTTACACCAGGCCTATATATACACATCTACACAACTACACATGCTGTGTAATACTGTATTCACAACCACAAATGCTTACAGAAAAAAGTTTGGTTTCAATCTTGCTTTCGTGTTTACCGTGAATCGTTCAACATCTCTGTGCCAGTTACTTTCAATCTTGAACAGAAATGAACACAGGAGCTCATGAAAGAAGAGATTTGGGTTTTGAATAACTGTGGGCATCTGATATATCCAAAGTACAATGTTATGGCAAAGGTGTTTGCAACGTAAGACAAATGTTTGCTTTGGAGATGTGTTTGCGATATTTTGAATGCAGTGCTTCATTTAGCAAGAGATGCGAGGCATTTTGCATTTTGTGTGTGCGGTTCTTGGATGTGTGTGTAAAGTTTTGTAAAAAAGTGGCAAAGTTTAGAAAATGTGTAAGCAGTTGAAAAAAAAAACTGTAATATAGTAATATACTTTTCTGCATATTTGAGGGGATTATTTAATTTGATAAGCATCTGTTAATAAAGTGTGGCTTGACTAAAGCACTAGTTCAGATCTAAACCAGTCCCAGTGAGTCTGTGTATTTATCCAGTGATTCTGTGTCTTCAGCTCCAGTGAATGTGGAGGGAAATGCAGAAATGTCCTCCGTGATCAATCTGACGCCCTGGACGGAGTATGAGTTCAGGGTCATCGCCACCAACACGCTGGGCACCGGACCCCCGAGCGACCCCTCGCCCACAATCACCACCAGAGAAGCCAGTGAGCTCCTTCTGTCCTCATCTGAGGAAACAATCACCTGCGGTTTATTGCCATTCACGTGTTTGTTTAACCCAGCTACTGCATTCAGCCCGTTTTGACCTGGAAGCAATGCATAACAATTTCAAGGGTTTCATTCAAACAAACAAACTTTAGAAATGAGACTATCAAAATACATATCATTTATTTTTTATGATTAAAAAAATACTTTTGTAAAATATATTTAGCCTCATTATTACATCTCACACACATTTAGGACTGAATTCTGCTAATAAACAACACACTAGATGTAACGTGCATAACAAATGAACTATATCAAATGAAATACAGCCCAGCGGGGTGCACAAGAAAAGTTCAAAGACTAAATAGTCTGAATTTGATAAAGGACAGAGGTTTGAAAAGAAGAAGCCTGCATTTCATTTGATGAACCATTGCAGCGTGGAGAACCTTTTCATGATAAAGTGAAAGTTTATGCAAGTGAAAGGAATATATTTTGTTTTAAAGCATTCCAGACTAATATTGATGTTGTTTTATTAGAAAATGTAGGTTTCATAAATCGGGACTATTTTTGAGCAGTCATGAGTTACAAGTTTAAAAAAAAAATGTCATTCAATTCTGTTAATTCCAGTGGAGTTAATACTGGTAATTCTCAGATTGATTGTTCTTATAAGTTTCATATAATGATATACTCAGATAAAGTTTATCATGAATACTGAAATGCATCGCAGTGGTTTTCATGTATAATTCATGCATAATGGGAAATGTTTAAGAATTTCTCATATTTTTAATTAGTAAAAAGGAGGCTAAATGCAGTAAAAAGATGGTAATAACAGTCACTGCTGTGTGTGTGCACTTGGAAGGGTTAGTTTGTCCTTTTCCTTTTCCTTAGTTGAAAATGACCAGAAGTCAAGTTTAATAAGCTTACGTTCCACCAGGTCCAAACGGAGCCGGCATGCAAAATGTGCAGGCAGTTTTTGAATGTATTATTATGTGTCTGTCCATCCTCAGTAGTACTATTGGACTATTTTTGAGCAGTCATGAGTTACAAGTTTTAAAAAAAATGTAATTCAATTCTGTTAATTCCAGTGGAGTTAATACTGGTAATTCTCAGATTGATTGTTCTTATAAGTTTCATATAATGATATACTCAGATAAAGTTTATCATGAATACTGAAATGCATCGCAGTGGTTTTCATGTATAATTCATGCATAATGGGAAATGTTTAAGAATTTCTCATATTTTGAATTAGTAAAAAGGAGGCTAAATGCAGTAAAAAGATGGTAATAACAGTCACTGCTGTGTGTGTGCACTTGGAAGGGTTAGTTTGTCCTTTTCCTTTTCCTTAGTTGAAAATGACCAGAAGTCAAGTTTAATAAGCTTACGTTCCACCAGGTCCAAATGGAGCCGGCATGCAAAATGTGCAGGCAGTTTTTGAATGTATTATTATGTGTCTGTCCATCCTCAGTAGTACTATTGCTGATAGTGATCTGATTAAACCACTAACACTAAGTATTAAGCATCAGTGTGTTAGTCCTCCAGCAGCATTCTGGGTAACCGCCCACAACATACAGTAGCACCACTGGAATAATCTAGAATACCATAGTAACTAGTAATTGCATAGCAATGCCTTAGCAAGCATAATTACTGTAATTACTTTCTCTGTAGGGCCTGTTGTGGCTCCGTCAGAGATCGGTGGAGGAGGAGGAACCAGCCGTGAGCTCACCATCACATGGACGGTACCAGTGCTCATGTTTCTCACATGAAGACCAGTGGCATGTGTATTCTAGAAATCAGAAAAATCCCTCACCAAATACCAGCAAAATGCAGCTCTCTCTTTCAATTTCAATTTCAAAGTCATCTAAATGCACATTTAAGTGTTTATTTCATTGCACTTTATCTGTTTGCGTCTGTAGATTTCAATTCATATCTTTAATCAACCAATCCATATTTTTTAAAATGTGTTTCTCCACTTCAGCAGCACTTCCATACACCAAAACTTAGAGTTTTATTCCTCTCTATATTCTGAAGGTTTTTACTGAGGGGTTTGTTCATATTTCGTTCACACCGATTTATACAACATTTTATTCCTAAAAACACGGTGAAAATGTTTTCTGTCTGTTGACAGTATTTTCGGATTTATGGAGTGATAAAAAGAGAATCTGTTAAAACCTTTAACGGTAGTATATCAACAAAATCAAACAAGGACTTTTGAACCGTATTATACAATGATAATGAATCATTTTTATATTTAAACAACATTTGATTTGTATATTTAAATGGCTTGTAATGCAAAATGTAATAATGCGTCATGATTCGTCAGCTGGGGAAGTATATATTAGTTTAAGAGTTTACTCTATTCACCTTTGCTATCTTGCCTTTGGTTAAAACCAAAAACTGTTTTGATGTGGTTTGCGTCTGCAGCCGGTCCAGCCGCAGTACTACTACGGCAGTAATTTTGGCTACATCATCGCCTTCAAGCCTCATAAGGAATGGGTGATTATTGAGTCAATGAGAATGTGTGCTTAAATGAATCGGTTAAATTAGTAAATCAGGGATTCACATCAAAGATACTGTGTGATTTGCTAACACTAAGTAGTGGTTATATTTTCATATGTGGTGGTTAAAGTATAATTTCATAGTTCTATATTCAGTATATTTTGAATTTAAAACATTAATCTGATAACGTTATACATGCAATTGTAACTGCAGTGTAAATGCATTCATGGCATCTCTGAGGTGCATTAAACAGTCTGTGTAAATCCATCTAAATGCCACTTCTGATGCAGCTTCTGTGCCACTTCTGCAGTGCAAAGCTGGATGTTGTTGATATCGATTTCATTTGACTGGTATCAGGATTATAATATTTACATTTAGATTAGATTGTTAGATTGAAATAATACACAAATAACATATAAACAATGACATGACAATACAATATATAAACACAATTTATAAAATAAAGCTACATTTAGAATATAAATTAAAACAGACTTCCAAACACAATATTCTACTTGACAAATTTCTGGTTATTCATTTTGCATATGCTTTTTATGCAAAGTAACTTACAAATGAGGAAACTCAAAAGCAGTTTTTTGTACTATTTAGCGGTCAAGCTCCTTGTGTAATCATTAATTTTCTTAATTTCTCCCTGGGAGTCTGTGGGAGCCCATAAAACCCCTTGCAGGAAAGTTATGACGTCTGGCACACAGATAGTGGACAGTATCAACATTAACCACAGCACATTTGGAGCCTCTAACTCAAAACCTTTAGCGCCACCAACATCTCAAATTTGCACTCATGTTTATGCT